ATTCTTGTTTTTTTTTAACATAGTAAACACAAATTGTAATGATCCGTTACATAAACACTCTTTCTGTCTGTTTGAGTGAGTATTCTTACTACTACTTGGTATTGCTTATTAAATGAACACATAATTAGCATTTTAGTCAGAAATATTTGCATGACAACTTGTAAAAACGACAAAACATGTATATACACATGCGCATAAAACTAACAGCTTTGCGTAGAACAGAATTTGGTATAACTGCTTATTATCACCACACACTATTTCACTGTATATCAGTACACTTAGAAAGCAAGGTTAGTAGCAGAGATAAACTCTATGCACTGCCCTTTTTATTTCCACTCTTTGTGTTTCAAGTGGAACAATATAGCTTCAATCCTTCAGAATTCCTAGCCTCATATCCAATCTTCACTCTAGTAAAATAGGCTAGGTTTAGTAGTACGTTGACCGAGAATTGAGCCCGGACCACTTGTGTAGTTGGCAAGCATATAACCATCAAACTACCAACAATATATATATATATTGTGTCAAGTTTGATTATGGATTGATATCAGTTAGAGAACCGTTGAAAACTACTGGGGAGTACTACACAGCCGTTTAGTCCTAGTTTGGGACTCTTCAGCACCTACGGACCTACAACCCCACGAAGAGTAGAATCCTATGAACTAACTATTGCAAATTAATATGGTGTTCACTAGTGACTGACTGAATTTTGAACTTGTCTGGAATTTTACTGAGAAGTCATGACCAGTGGGGTTGGGTATGAGGACAAATATTCGTCGATGTCATTGGCTAGTAAGAGTTGATAGAATTTATAATTTACAGATCACTGAATTCCAGCAGAAGTGAATGAATGGTCAACTAACTTAGCCTAGCACCAAGAACTTCCCGGATTTGATCCCTGGTGGAGATTTGGGTGCATACTGGTGAAGAGTACTAGGCTAGGACGAAATAGCTGTCAAGTACTGTCTTATGGTTTTCAATAATTTTCTAACTTACATCAATCCGTAATCAAACTTAAAACAAATCATATCCCTTCAAATTAACTCTTGAAAATTAGTCTTACTATAGAGATTGAATTCATCAGTAACCATAATTTGAAATAGTTCCTTTAATATATTTAGATAGAAGTATGTATAAAATAGAATAAAATCGCTTAAGTATTCTCCTTTTCTTTTCTGTTTTTACAGTGTACATGTCTCATAAGTAAAAAAAGTGTAATCAAGAGTCACATATGTAGTATATGCTTGGTGTTTTTTACATCTAATGACAATGTAAGTATTAGCTTAACAACCAACTAACTCTTGTACTAAATAATTTGGGGTATTTTAACCCCTTCTCCTACCGGCTCAACCAATCTGCTATTACACAGTAATAATACCTTTCGAACGACATATTTATATACAATACAAACTTCTCAACACCTATTTGGCGATCCTCCATGTCAAATGATCCACAACGGAAAACTCAGCGACTTTCCTAATTGCGGTGGACTGGATAATGCAGCACACCAGATGTGGGGAGCCAGAAAACAGAAATACGTTAGACCAATAAAAAAACTCTAAGAGATCTGTATTTTGGAGACAGTTTATGTCTAAAGTCATATAAATCCAAAGACGAACTGTCAGAAGAAGTAGCAAAGACAGGACTTCAAGTAAACATAGAGAAGAGGGTGGTGATGAAGATTACTAACCAAAAGCAACAAGCTTCAGTCACCGTCAATAGGAGAAATCTGAAACAAGTCAGCTCTTTCACTTGTCCAGACAGCATCGTTTCAACTACAGGCAGAACGGATGAGGGTGTCAAAGTGAGAATCGGAAAGTAAGGTACGCCTTCACCACTCCAAAATCAGTGTGCACATCTTCTGTTCCCAGGATAAAGAGCAGGATTCGAATTTTCAGCACTAACGTTAAGTCACTCAGTTCTTTTACATGGGTCAAAAATTTGGCGCGTCACTAAAAGCATTTCCAACAGCCTGCTACAGACTCTTACCAACAGCTATCTTCGCTTTGTATTGAAGATCAAATGGGCAGTATGAAGAGTTAGCAACAATAAACTCTGGGAAAGAACCAACCAAGAACCTATTACCCAATAAATATTTTGAAGAAAATGGAGATGGATAAAACACACACTGAGGAGACTATCGAATGACATCACACGCCAGACCATCGCTCCAGTGGAACCCGACTGGAAAACGACGAGTTGAGTGTGTGTTCGAAGCCGTCACAGAGGTAGGTAAAGCCTATGAGTAAACGTTGGGTCAGCTAAAAAGGACTACGGAGAACAGGACAAGGCAGAGATGTACTATTGAAGCCCTACATTCCACTTGGACTTCAAGGGAATAATAATTTAATAAAGAATTGTCAGCTTGATTTTATCTACTCCATTTGTATATAATATTCAAGTGAATGAGTAATCTAAAAAATATCATTAGATGAAATTCCATTCAGTCTCAAACGTGCTCGCTCCACCGACGGACATATTTGTCTCTTCCAAACAAGCTTAGCGATATTCTGAAAACCACTCAAAAATGTCCCTGAGTAAAGACTGTTCTCGGAGGACATAAATAGATTGTTGAAGTATAACTGATTAAATCTGGTTCATTGTGCGGGCTGCCGGTCAAACCTTTGCAACCATTTGGAACTCATTCTAAAACAAGTTACTTGCTATAAATTACCTAGAGTACCATTTGTCAACAAATGATGAAATGAAATAATAGGAGATTGCCACAGTCGTGAAGCTCTCGTTGGTCTTACAATTACTGATTTGGTGGTGAGAAGAAGCACATCAATACTAGCTGGCCAGATTCTCAGCCTTTATTCTTCTAGTTGCTTCACTTTAACCTTGGCTATTTTTCTCACAATGTATACCTAATCAATCAATTCTAGAAATCTATTTTCCTGAAAATTATTCAAAATCGGTTGTAAAAATTCTTTCTTCTATTGTTGCTATGTGCCATCTCATCTATGTGATTGTGATGCTTTAATTTAGTTTATTCGAAATATCGCGTGACTTCAATTCACTACAAGTTTAAAGGTCAGACTATATTAGAATCAAGTTAAACAGTTAAGTAATCCATCAGTGAAAAACGTAATGGCGCACACCGAATGAATTCTTATAGGTTCGCCTCGTAACCGGAAGGCCCTGGGTTTAGTCCCGTACTGTAAAGAGCTCTAAACTAGGACGAACCAGCTGTTCAGTGCTCCTCAGTCGTCGGTAGTTTTCTTACTGGGGTTATTTCGTGATCAAATTTAAAATCAGCCTAGTGCTTCTATTTGGTTCAGAGAATTTTCATATACATCATGAGAAACCTTTCTAACAGCATGCTAAGGACTTTTATCAACAGCTGCCTTCGTTGACTCAGTACCGATGATCAGATGGCTGACCAGAAAGGATATATTATTATTATTCCCTTGGGTTCCTAGTGGAACATAGGGCTTCAACTGCACGCCTCCACTTGTTTCTGTCTTCTGCTGTACTTTTCACTTGCATCCATGTTAGTCCATACTGTTTCAGCTCCTCTTCACACGACTTCCTCCATGTCACACTTGGACGTCCCACTCGCCGCTTCCCTTTCGGGTTCCACTCGAGCTATGGCCTGACGCATGATGTCACCCAGTGGCCTCCTCAGCGAGTGTCCAATCCATCTCCACTTTCTCCTGCATATTTGTTGGGCGATTCGTTCTTGTTTTGTTTGTTCCCATAGTTTCTTGTTGGTGATTCTTTCCGGCCATCTGATCTTCAGTATAGAACGAAGACAGTTGTTGATGAAGGTCTGCAACTTGTTGAAAATATTCTTTGTGACCAGCCAAGTTTCTGATCAGTATAGCAAAACTGACTTGACGTTTGTATTGAAAATCCGAATTTTGTTGTTGATGCTGAGTGACGAATATTTCCAGGTTGGTTTCAGGTTGATGAATGTGTTTCTCGCCTTCCCGATTCTCGATTTGACATCCTCATAAGTTCCTCCTGTAGATGAAACAATGTTCCCTAGATAAGTGAATGAAGTAACCTCTTTCAAATCTCTCCCGTTGATGGTGATTGGCACTGGATATTGCTGTTGTTGTTGTTGTTGGTTGGTTATTTTCATAACCTCCGTCTTGTCTATGTTCACCTGGAGTCCTGTCTTTGCTGCTTCTTTGACCAGTTTGTCGGTTTTCGCTTGTAAGTCTTCGATTTTGTGTGACATCAAACATTAATCATCCACACGCGAAATCCAGGTCTTCTAGGTTCTTCACGTCGGTCCAGGATATCCCTGTCTTCTCGTTTTCCACTGTCTGACGCATAATCTAGTCCACCACAATTAGGAATATCATTGGTGATAATAAGCACCCTTGTCTGAATCCTGTGTTTACTCCAAATGCCTCGCTGAGTTTTCCGTTGTGGATCACTTGACATGTGCCGTTGTCGTACAGCTGTTGAATAAAGTTGATAAGGATAATCGACAAGGAATTCCGGCAACGAACCAGACAAAAATCTTTCGAACAACAAATATGCTAAATGAAGCGCGGATGGATTAGACACTCTGAGGAACGACATCGTGCGCCAGGCCATCGCTTGAGGGGAACCCAAATAGGAAACGATGAGTTGGGAGTGTGTTCGAGGTTGATATGCAAGAGATCATGGGAAAAGTGATTGAAAGCTTATAGGCAATCGTGAAGAGAGTGAAAACAACAGAGTGAAATGCAGATGTTCTACCGAATTCTTATGTTCAACTGAGAACCCACGGGAATACTAATACTAAATGCAACCCAGGGGGGAAAACACCGGGCACTCTAATTTAGCATTGCACAAGCACTAACAGATGCTAAATTTCACTGAAAATTCACAAAAGCCATATATTATGCAACATAATTTATTTGTCCGTGAAGATGAGAAATATAACGACAGTGAATGACAACATTTACTGAATATAAATGTATGAATATAATTTGACCTAATTATGCTGTGTATAAGGTTTGTAGTCAGTTTATATATAAAATTCGAGTCATCTGATGCCTAGGTGTTTAAATACTATCCATTTTGTTACTCGACTGTTTGCTAAAGAGAACTTCACAAGTTACTGGGACACAAATACACGACTGAATCCATTCAAATAAATAAAACTGAACTTGTGACAACCTTCCCTCCTGGTATTGTTGTTGTTTATACTCCTGTTGGCTATGCTGCTTATCCAACTCATTCATCTCCGTAGTACATAGAAAACTTAAACGTTTAGTTTTTGAACGATTCGGTAGGCAACAATGACCAGGCGGTGATTTATTACAAAAGTTTGCTTTCAGTGGTTTTATCAGTTGACACATAGTTGATTTGACATTATCTGTGGAATAATTCTTCAACTGTTGCTGTAAGCATGATGGAATTGAAAGTTGACTACAGACAGGAACATTAGACAATGAAGTTATACTGGAATTGTTCAGCATCAAGAAACGTAGATGACCAGAACGAGAAAAACGAAGAGTTGGCGAAAACTGGCGGTTTCCTGCATTATTCTTCTAAATAAATAAATAAAAAATAAATGTTTTATAATTTTGTAGAATAAATTAAAATTGACAAAATGACAGAATGCATTTTTAAACCACAGAATCATTGCAAATTACTTGTTTGTTGGAATTTAGCAGAAGAACACACTTCGTCCTGTTTCGGGCTCATCATTGGATGTACTTGATTCCCAGTGAGTAATGTTTATCCTACTCAGACTTGAACACAATATTCAGCTATTGAAACGCCAAGGCGTTATTCTTTGAGCCACTACAGGCACTTTTTGTACAGAATGTATGGTTTGGTGGCTAGCAACAGAATCCAAGAAGGCCATCACTCGTAAGTGAGCAAATACATTTAGCTGACGATTACCAAATAGGCCGAAGCGCTCTTAGTTCTTAGCAGAACGATTTTTAATTCATGATATGGGAAAATGTCACACTCATAAATCTTATAACTTTTCCCGCCATCCAACTGCGTCAAATGTACTCAATGAGGTTCAACGTAAGGGTGTGTGATTCAAGAATATGTACCAAGTTTATGAGGGATTGTAACCCGAAAAATCTGTAACGCCAACTTGGCTAGAAAAAGTTACATAAAAGCAGAATACCACAAAACGGGAAGATTTCAAAGCTGCATGTGTGGCATGATTAGACTTATCAATAGTATATAGACGCAGATTGATAGGAAGCAGTCAAAATTTAAAAACATCATTTAAAGTCCATAGCTGCAGAGGTATAAGTTTTTATTCCTCATATCTGGATTTAGTTTACGTTGTGATCAAGTGATAATCTCATTGAACAATTCTTTGCCTCGATGATTAACCTTCTAAAAATCGACAACCAATCAGAACAGTCTAATGTCTGCTGACCTAGCCGACCTTTAATGTGACTGTATAGGTATAAACATGGTGTGTTTTCGTTAATAAAATGTCCGTAACCAAGTCTCTTGCATTCTGCTGTTACAAATACACTTATCAAAGTTCAGACAAACTTTTAAATAACTTTGAATTTTTAACCCTAGTAACATGAAGTCATCCGTCCAAGGAACTCATACCAAAACGAGGTTGATCATTAACCATCACAGAAATATCAGCGGTAAAATGACAGACATGGGTAAATAATTTCAGAGAGTCGTTGTTTTCAGCCCACCTTATTACAGGTAATTCAGAGCTGATTTAGCAGCGTGTAAGATCTTACCTTTTGCCCAAGAAATGTGCAAAAGGAAACGGAGCTAGATTAGACAAACTCTGAGAAGACCGTCAGTGTACTAGGCCCTTGAGTCGAACTTTCGTAGGAAACAGCGAGTTAGGAATGTGTCTGAAGGTGACATGGTGGAGATCGCGTGAAGAAAAGTTGACAGATTATGTGCGACTTTGAAGCTAGCTAAACAGAGCTATTGCTGAATCTCAAACTTTCCATTTGGAACCCAAAAGAATAAGAATAATAGGACTGAGTTGTTGTGTAGTCACCTAAACACATCACTCGAGGTGAAATACTCATCCAAGAAATAAAATGACCGAGAAACACATCGAATACAATCAAGAGCAATTCACTCTCCAGCACACATTATTCCACTGAACTGACAGCGACTGAAAGATTCTTTCACTTTTCAGGCATCCACATTTCATAGACACTCTTTCCAGTTTAGACTCAAGCAACCCTATAGCAAGTGCTTATTTCAGTAAACCACAAAGAAATATCTGAATTACACATACCTCTTTTTTCATCCATATATATATATATGTCTTCACTATAGTCTATGCTAATTTACTCGTAGAAAGAGTATAGTGAAGATAACAATAATAGTCATGACCGATTGGTCTTAGCACACCTGTTTTACATGTTAACAGTGATACTATCACACATGTAATATAAATATGTAATAACAGTTTTCTTAATCAAATCAAATGCTGCTTACATAACTCATCTGTAGTCATCTATTGTCCAAACAAAAAAAATAAAAATAATGATCAAACATGCATACTGATTAGGTTTACAAGCTTTCTGTTGTTCTTCAAGTAATTACTCATATGTTTCTAATGCAGAAAGATAGATAGATAGATAGATAGATAGATAGATAGATAGATAGATAGATAGATAGATAGATAGATAGATAGATAGATAGATAGATAGATAGATAGATAGATAGATAGATAGATAGATAGATAGATAGATAGATAGATAGATAGATAGATAGATAGATAGATAGATAGATAGATAGATAGATAGATAGATAGATAGATAGATAGATAGATAGATAGATAGATAGATAGATAGATAGATAGATAGATAGATAGATAGATAGATAGATAGATAGATAGATAGATAGATAGATAGATAGATAGATAGATAGATAGATAGATAGATAGATAGATAGTGCAATAAGGAGGTGTAACCACTTGTCTATATGTATACCAATTTCTTATACAAAAATTATCAATAATAATAATAGTGATGAATGAACGATATATGAATTGAGAATAAACAAGTTTAGCTTCAACATAAAACAAATCAAAAGACTGTCAGAATCAATACCCTGGAAACAAACCACTTGTACATGTAGATGAGAAGAATAAAACTAATAAAAGATGCTTCAGCAATACGAGTTTTAATTCACATGACATACCAGCAGAACAGATTTTCAATTAAATAAATAGGCTTTTTGTTGGACTGATAATTACATAATAAACTAAGTGTTTGTGTAAATGAACACGTTAGTGTGTCAGTTTTTTTTATTCCTTTTCGTTCCTAGTGGAACATAGGGCTTCAAGCTAGAGGCTTGAAGTGTCTGTAGCAGTGGTGTTTATTTTTACAGGATGGGGTTACTAGCCTCATGCCCTACCTTTCCTCTTCACCAGTCTTACTACTAGCTTAGCGAGGTTAAGGAGTGCGTTGATCGGAGGTGGAACCCTGCACCACATGCATGGTTGGTGAGCATTCTACCGCTGTGCCACCGACTCACTGTGTCATTAGTTTGTTGGAGTTTATTTTTTGGAGTTGTATAGCACATTGTGAGCAGTGTGAGAGTCTGTTGCATAATTTCTTGTTTGATAACTTGTAAATAATGAGCATCTCTACGTCTCTCGAACTATTCAAACGTGCTGTAACAGCAATGCCTAACCCAGTTATATTCTTTACTCTTAAACAATCCTTATTTCTTATTGTTATTTGTTCCGCTGCGTTATGAGTTCAAAGTTAGGCTCCAATGGTACATTTGTCTTGTACTCTGGTGCTCTACTGTCATTTTCATCTAGCTCCTCTGCTGTCCATGAATGTTAATTTCCTCTTCACTTGATCTTCTCCACTTTATCCTCAGATGTTCAGACTGTCACTTCATATTCAGATATTACTCAACTGCCTGACTGGCTTTAGGAGTCATTTGAATGTCTCTCCAACATATCTCTGATCCACCTCCGCTTCTTTCTGCATATTTGTTGGGCATTAGATCCTTGACTGCCCATCCTTTGTAGGTAACCATGGGATCTTCAGTTCAGGTGCATCGAAGTCATGTATTGATAAATGTGTGTATCAGGCTACTGGAAATTATTTTGGTGACGCACGTGCTAATTATATTGACCATATAAAAGCACTAACTTAAGTGACATTAGTGTTAGAAATTCGGATTCTTTTGCTTCTCCTTAATGTAGCAATATCTCTCACTTGTAGTCGGAATGACGCTGCTTAGATCCGGTAAATGACACATATGACTTCATTTAGGTTCCTCCCATTGGTGGTGACTTATGTTTGTCTTCATCACCTCTTTCTTCTATGAGTTCAGCTAAAGCCTCTATTACCAACTTTCCGCTTGTATATCTTTAAGTTAATGAGACATGTGGTATAAATCATCTTCGAAATTCATTTCTTTTAGGGTGTTTTTGTTTGTGCAACGTATGCCCATCGTCTCATTCCCCATAGTCTTCCATATAATCCGGCGGACCATCGATCAATTTCACTCAAAGAACCATTGAGAATTATGCTCCATCTGAAAATTCACTTCATTACGGGTTGAAATTCTTCAGCAGTAAATAACCATTATCCTCCAAGAGAACGACATTCAAATCACTTGTTTGGAGGTGATAATATAGTGAGTTATTATTCTGACCAATTTCCGAACACGAGGTGACCATAATTCAGTCTCATGAATAAGCATGTTTCCCGAGTGTTCTGCTTAGTACCCTTACCCGACAAGGATAATTTACTTTATCGACAAAATCATCTTCAAAGTAGGTGAGATCAAAGATGACTAAAAACCAAAATTTACAAAATGAATATGTGAGTGTGATAAAATTGAATTACTTGCTAGAAAATCAAATCAAACAAGTAGAGAACTAGAAACACATCAGAATATTAAACTGAATTAACCTTTTCTGTACGCAGAGTTCAGGATCGAATCGACGAAGCCGTGGCTCATTCACCATACACAAGTGTCTGAACCTAACATCCCTTATACTATTTGGTCATCTTTTAAAATTATTTTGAAAGAGGTTGTTGGAGTCAGTCAATAGGAATCTTCGGACCCAGGTGTACCTGAACAAGATCTACGACTCTGGTTACGCCTTAGTGATCAATTCATTTGTCCACCACAGTTTTATAGTGGGTATTTGAGGTAAGAATGGCTCCGTTGTGTCTATGAGTACAGCAGTAGGGGAAGTGGGTTTGGAAATCTGAGGGGACAAAGCTGCCCCTGAGGTCACTGATACACTTCTCCATTAAGAACGAGAACTAGATCCAGGACTAATTGCATAGAACCACCTGATATACACGATCTCCTTCATATCACTCTCACACTGGAGACCCACTGGTCGCTTCCCATCCTGATTCCACTCGGGCGATGGCCTGCATTCAGAGCGAAATAATTCGATGGCCTCCTCAACGTATGCCCAATCCGTCTCCATTTTTCTCTCACATATTTGTTGGGCAGTTGGCTGTTGATTGGTTTCTTCCCAGTAAGAGTTTCTCGCTGATAATTCTTTCTCGTCGGCCGGTCGTTTGATCTTCAAAAGCTTCCAGCCAAGGCAGCTTTACGTCTGTGTTGAAAATCCGAATCTTGTTCTTTATGCTGAGGCTGAGTGCAGAAGATTTCCAAACTGGTTTCAGGTTGATGAAGGAGTATCTTGCCTCTCCACTTCTGGCTGGTGTTGACGTCTTCACCCGTTCCTCCACCTGTGGTTCAACCGTGCTTCCTGGCCAGATAAGTGAAGGAAATAACCTCTGTCAAATCTCTCCCGTTGCTGGTGATTGGTGATGCTGGTTGTTGTTGCTGTTGGTGGTGGTTGGTGTTGATCTTCATCACCTCCACCTTCTCTATGTTCGCTTGGAGTGCTGTCTTCGCCGCTAGCGCCTCCAGGCAGATTGTTGGTTTTCGCCTTTAGGGATTTGAGTTTGTGTGACATTAAACATATATCATCCACGTGAGAAATCCAGATATCCTAAAATCTTCTCATCGGTGGTCCAAAGTATTCGTGTCTTCGCACTCCCAACGGACGGTGTGATGTATAATCCAGTCCACCACAATTAAGAATATCATCGGTGATAATAGGTACCCTGCCTTATTTTCATGATGTAATCGCTTCGAACGCTACGCTGAGCTTTCCACTGTGGATCAACTGAAAAGTGTAACTGTCATATGGCTAGCTGTTAAATGAGGTTTACAAGGACTTAAGCCGTGCACGACGTAGTGTTGAAGTATTCTCTAAATTACCTCTCGGTCAACGCTCTCGAAGGGCGTGTTTGATGAATCTGAGGTAGAGTTAGTTTTGACTGCCATTCTCTGCCTTGTTCGATGACGGCGATGCGTACAGTTACAATTTGATCAGCACATGATTCTCCTTTCCTTGATCAGTGGCTGTGTAACTGATAACAATCCACGGTCAGACTTGGAACTTAATTTAAGTTACACTTCGATCATTCTTCATTCAGAATGTAAACACGTAGGTAGGAAACACTTTTTCAGCTTATTTCAGTATGTTATTTTTTTTATCTTAAATGTATTACAAGAATTCACTTCAAGTGGTATCCTAGTATTTGAAGAAGGCAGTAGTAAAACTGAGAAAACCCTTGACTAAATATATTTTTCATTTATTTGCTTCCTGAGTGGAACATAGGGTTTCAAGGATTAAAAGTTTCGGTAGTTATGGTGTTACTTTTATAGGGCGAGGTTGTCATTTTCATGTCCACCCTCCCTTATACTCCTGTCTTTCTGTTGGCTAGTAATCTAGGCAAGCTCCAGGAATGCTTCAGTTAGGAATTAAACTGAGGGCATTTGTGTAGCTGGTTGACACCGAATTATCGACAGTGGTTTACTGTTAGACTATATAATACAAATTATAAGAACTAAACAATTTCCAAATTATCAGCGAAGTGTGTTTTAAACGTTTTCTTGATTACCACGGATTATTTACAGTAAGCATTAAATCTACTATTATTGATTGACTAAGAAAGATATGAAAGAGGAAGTTTTTTCAAGTACGTATTCTCAAATAACATATGAAGGTAAAGGCTATTTTCATAGCAAACATTACAACATTTATTTGTAGTTGCTTAAGAAAAGTTAATAAAACACCTTTAAAATTGCCAAAAGTAACATCTTAAGTATGATTACAGCATTCCCGTAGGCCAGTAACACAGAATCAACTAGATGAGGGAATTCAAGTTGTAATTGATCGCCTGCGTTCTACTTATACAAGTATACTGAAATAAAAGTGCGGCAATTTTGACTTGCGATAGTGCATATCGTCACCCTAAGTAAAATACATTTTAAATCAACTAATAGACCACGGACTGACATCAGTTAGAGAATCATTGAAAACCAGGGAGTACTAAACAGCTATTTCATCCTAGTTTGAGAATTAATGATTTAGCATAATGATACCACCTATTATATTATACTTCTATTAGTTCAATTTTACAGAATCTAACCTTTGATTTCTTATGATAAATAGATTGTATATTCTTGTGATATCTTAACTAAGGTATGCAGCGATTGTGTCAATAGTGAGATAAAAAAAGGTTGGTTTACATACCATACCAGCTAATAAGGCAATCTATCTTAGTACAAAGTTCACACTACCTGTCTTTCGTTAAGAGAAGAAGGCTAAAACATTCGAGTCAGTCTGAACTTCAATGTGAATAAATGTTTGTGAGGTTAATTATCAAATAACCTTGATGTCTGCATGTATGCAAATATTTATTCGTCAAGAGTATATATATATATATATACCGTCTTTAAGCCTTTCAGTGATTCTCTTCTGTCTCAATGTAATCACTTTATTTACGTGTTGTCTATTTTGTGTTTTGTAAATTGATACTACTAACAAAGTCCAACAAGTCCAATACTGAGTCATAATTATTTTTATTATTACTCGAGTGAGTAAACAAACCTATCAACTCTTTCTCTTTAATACATAAACTGCCTTGCCTACACATACAGTTCAGTAAATATTATCAGTAATATAATCGATTTCAGTGGACAAAGGTCGTCTTCTTCCTTTCTGATATGTCAATGATTTTCAAATGTAAACATGTAACTCTGTCATTTTTATGTCGTTGTGTAGCTTAAACACATTGTTATTTATTATTGTATCATTTGTTCCTTACATTTCTAGTGGAACATTGGAGGACTCAGTGGCACATTTTCATTTCATTCGGTTGTCTATGGCTCTCTGTCACCACGACTGTACACAAGCTTTCACTCCCCCTCATACAATATTTTTTCAAGTCATTATCGGGTTTCAATAAACGACCTGACCAGCGTGTTATCTCTCCTCACTAAATGTCCAATCCATCTCCATTTCTTCCTGCATATTTGTTAGACAATAGACTGTTGGATGGTTGACCACCTGCTAGAGTTACGTATCTGACCTTCATGACTGTAGGAAGGCAAGTATTGAGGAGTGTTTGTATCAGGTTGTTGAAAATGGTTCCAATGACACATCAAGCTTAAACATATAGAGTATGCTATTAACCACTTCAGATTTGATGTTCTTAATTATTTCGTCATCATGTTAACAACTGTGAGGTCTGGTGGAGTGTATTTGGGCTTCGAGGAGAGCATCTTTCAGTAAATGTCGTCGTCTTGGATAAATACTGTCAGTTTCGCCTCTAAGACTCTCATGTTGTTTACTGTTTTCTAGCCATAGTATTGAGTATAAAAAGTGGAGGGGTGGCCATTGCATGATGTGGCGCTGTAGGATAAAGGATATTTGTGTTTCGTTGACATCTGCCTGTACATCATGATTGCATGAATGGAGTCCAGGAGATAATCAAAAGCATGAGGCTCTGAATGTTATCGCGTATGACCAAGATTCGTAATCGATGACGAACAGGCGGCAATCCCCTCCTTACCTATATTTCTGAAAGTGAAATCTAATGACGAATGCTGCTTAAACTTTCTTCATTAGTATGCCTACCATTCTTTATCATCCTGTTCCTCAATCATTGTGCTTCTTTTTCACATTTTGGGTTTCACTGTTTTCATATACATATGGTGCATCTTTTGGCACCCATATTGTATTGAGTTTGTGAGTTGGAGAAATGATCTTTATTGTGACTGTGGTCGGGTTTTGAAGAGTTTTCGGTAACCAATCATAAAAGTTTATCAAACACTTTCTGTTAGATGACTTCATCTACTGAGAGCCTCACAAATCCACATACGATTATATCAGTGTGTGTGTGTGTGTTTGTAGACAGTTAGACATATTTTCCTAACCGACAACTTATATCACTGAAAAATGACATACCAAGGTGTTTGTTTTGACGGTAACTGACTAAAAATGAGTGACTGGAATTATATACTACTGATTGTCTGACATGAATTTATCGAAACCTATTTATATCAACCACCATTGCTTGCTGGTTAGCCAGATCAAGCTGATCTGAACACCAGATGGCCGTTTCGCTCGTTTGCGGTCGTGTTCATCAGCGGTGAACCCAGTGTGACTCAGCTTAGAGAGCCAAATCAGTTGAAACCACTCGGTTTCTGGTTAGCTATTCGGTCAAACACCATGAATCCGATTCTAAATTTGCAATTCACACAATTTGAGTGGTGAAATTTCACCTTAGTTTCCTTTGTAAACCAAGTTATTCCGAGTTGAGTTGAAATAGGTACACTGCTGATGGCCTCGATCGACCTCAAACAAGCGAGACGGCCATCCGGTGTTCAGATCACCTCGATCTGGCTAGACAGCGAGAACTGATGATTGATATGATTGGTTTCCACACACTCATCTCAACCAATGTAAATTTACTTGGTTTATCGATTACCACTTATGGCAGCAAGCAGGTCACATATTGTGCGTCATCGGAATAACTTGGTTTCTAGAGGAAACTACGGTGAAATTTCACCACTTGAACTGTGCAAATTGCAAATTGTGAATCGGTTCCAGTGACTGGGTAATGAACGGTATCTACTGAAACGTGAAACATTAAATGTCATCTTTAAAAAGCTTAGGAATAAAGTTTTGTTCTCAGCGACAGAGACAGTCTGAGACTGCAGTGGCTAGTGTGCACTGGTAGTCAGTATTGAAAAACGATGTTAAAAAATGTAGTCACCGAGGAATTGTACATAAGGGGACATTCAAAGACACTCATACTAGTACACAGCGTGCACTGACACCAAGACGAGAGAAAAGAGGAAAGTATAACTTAACGAAGTCAGCAATGGACGCTTCAAGGAACCTTGAGAATAACCAGCTGATCAGTAACTGTAAAAGCAGACAGATGCAGTTCTTCAGTGGAATTAGATAAGTAGGACTATTTAGAAATGAGGAAATCAATAGACATTGTCATGAATAAGGCTAAGAAATCCGCAGAGGATCTTATACGCCAAATGAAAAAAACTGTTGTTTCATTTACCTGTGAGGAATTCATCTCACATGGACGCCAGAAACAAAGACGAATTTCTGTAGTATTCTGACAGTATTGATTATCTGTTGTCCAACGCCATGATATTCCAAGACCACATTGTCGACTACAAACTGACCATAGTGAGGTTTCCTGCTTCACCAGGTTACAGTAATTCTTATCTAATTAAAATGCAGAAAAACGGTGATGGAAGATATAGAATATTTTCAGAATTGCAGTGCATAGGGTGAAAAATTAAAGGTGATAAACACAACTTTTACAAAAAAATATTTGTGCGCAATTCTACGTTTTAACCAACTAACGCTCAATGTATATTATGAAACATTGACATCAGTTTTAAATAAGTTATTGTAGAAGTACCTGCACATGTCAATAGTGAAAGTCAATTTTGAATACACAACCTTAGTGAAATATACAAAAGTCAAATCATTCTTGATAATTTTTGAGATTTAGTTTTTAGGGATTTGATTTGCTGGTCTGTTAGTTAGGGAACCACCGGAAATCAGGTAGTGCTGGACAGCTGTTTCGTCCTAGCCTGGAACTGTCAAGCAGTACACATCCAATCGGCAATCAAACTTGAAACAAAATCAAATTCCTACAAACTGAATTTTGAAAATTAGTCTGATCCTCACCAGGTACTGACTACAGGATGAAGTTGCCTGAAGTTCTGGTGAGAAGTTGTCACCATTGGGATCCACCAGGTCAGAAGTGATTAAAAATACTCTCTAGTGACATTGGATGGTATTTGCACTAAAATTACAAGTTGGTAGGAATTAGAATTCCTTGGTTACTGAGTGGGATCCCTGTGCCTGAATGGTCTACACGCCTTCCTTGTAACCAGGAAGTTTCGGATTCAAATATCAGTGGACGCGTACTGCTGTGAAGTCACAAACTAGAACAACCTCTTAACAAAATTAAAGCAAAATATGCCCTTTAGCCAAGGTATATTGTTTAAATAGCTTATAGGGTTAACCAGTTTATATGATGGAGGATATCGACAAGGAGTACTAGACAACTGTTTCATCCTAGTTTAGACTGTTCAGCGGTATGCATCCAGGAGCTTCATGTTTCAAAGCAAGATTTTAATCATTCAGCTAGTCGGACAGAATCCGATGGCCAACAAATTCTGACTTAAACCACTTCGGGATATACACTGTGCCTCTACTAGCCATTATTGTCGGCAATTACTTCTCTCTCTCTCTAACGCATTCCCGTTCATAAACTATCTGAAAATCAATCAAATCTCTGCAAACTGACAATAGAAGCAGTTTGTTGTTAAAACAGGCCAAATAACTACGAAAACAATTCCACATTAGTTACAAGATTTCATCATGAGCTGACATTGGTTAGAGAACCATTGGAAAACCTGAGAGTACTGGACAGCTGTTTCGTCTCAGTTTGGGACTCTTCATCAGTACGCACACACCATGGGGGTTAGAACCCAGGACCTTCTGGTTACAAGGCGAGCTCGTAGACCATTCAGCCACTGGGACCCGATCCAATGGCCCATGTATTCTATCTTCTGCCAATTCACGATATAGCGCAACCCCTAGCCAATGTCTTCGGTAAGTATTTGTCCTCACACCCGACCTGCTGCACCCTACTGGTCACGACTTCCCACTGGAACCCCAGGTAACTATCCACCTAAATAGGGCCAGTCACCAGTGTTGTATAAGTTTGTGTAAATCTGGTTACGATCACCAATGCAATACTATGTGTGCACAGATGTGCCTCAACCTGTCTGTTAGACGTCACTGTGGTAAAGCATAGTAAATTTCGTTTGACTATTCATTACTTTGAGCACCATCAGACTATGCACTGTACGACCAGAGTCTGACTGTTAGTGTGCACGCCATGTCCAAACCTTTACATAATTCATATATCTTTTAGTTGTTTGGGCTGTAACTGGTTGAAAAGAAGACATGAAATTATAAAAATCAGCTCATTTTTTCTGACTACATGTATTGTTCTTGTTTTATTTATCTAATGAATATGACTGAACTCATGTAATGTCATTTTCTGTATTCTTTCGATTACGAAACTTTTACTTATTGATTTATTCTGTTTTTGTCCAAAGTAGATCTATCTATCAACGTTTTTTACGATAAATTGACGTCAAATAGAATGAATGAATAAATGATACTGTTCTCTACTCAAAAAGTGGTAAAATTCCGGATACTTTCACAGTCTACCTTTAATTCTTTCTGATTTTCAAAAATACTCCAGCTGAAAAGGACTATTTGCCTTCGGCCATGTTTTATTGTTTAAGTAGGTATTCTTTGTTAACAATTCAATGATTGTAGCGATTACCCTTTACTGTATCATGTCAAGTTTGATCATGAGTCGACGTCATATTGAAGGACCACTGTAAACCAGAGAGTACTGCATAGTTTCACACTCCTAACTTAGATTCTTTAGCAGTGCGCACTTACAAACCTACTGGTAATCGAATCCAGGACCTTCGGGTTACAAGGCCAAGCGCGTTGGCCATTCAACCACTACCCATTAGTTCTAACTTCAGTCAGTTAGCAATATAGCACTGCCACAAACCAGTGCCATTGATGAACGTAGACTGCTTACCTGAGATGGTAAGCCCCATCGGCCACAATGTTCCCTTACGACTTGAATAAATCCGACTGGATATGATCATAAATATTTGTCAGTAGTACTGGCTTGTGGCCGCGCTAAGATACTGAATTGACACAAGTTGGTATTCATGGGTCGTTGGCTTAATGGACAAAGACCTTAGCTTCGTGATCATAAGGTCCTGGGTTCCATCTCTGGTGGAGACATGGGCGTTTACTGATGAAGAAGACCGAACTAGGATGGGTCATGTGTCCTGTTTTTCCTCTTTTTTACTAGTTTTCTAACTGATACCAATCCATGAATAAACTTAAGATAAATCAAATCCTTACGAGCTAACTCCGAGAAAAAATCATATCAGTTGGAAAAACTACTCATGAGTAGTCTTCTAACATTCGGACAATTAAAAAAACCATACAGAATTCTAATCGACAAAATGGCGAAATACAATTTACAATAACATTTTTTACTTTCAATTTCTTCCTTTCCAAAAGGTGTTTAACTTGAACTGATATACTTTAAATCTCTAAGTTCTTTTTCATTCCTTACCTTCTGAGTCAAAATGGGATTCTGCGATAGGGGATTACTAGCCTCATACTCAGTCTTCCTTCCCCTCCAGGCTACTAGGAGCTAGTCATGGTCTAAGAGTATACCAGTCTAAAGTCGAACCTGAACCTCTTGATTGGAAAATCCAGTGTAGAACCTCAATTTCTTGCATCCTTCAGTGTAATTTTGAAACGATAAACTTATGAGTAATTACTGATTTACTAAAAAAAATCATCAACATTTAATTTTGTACTCTTACACTTATTTCGCTTGAAGATATTAAAACATGTATGGTGTATAAGAGTCTATAAATCAGTCTCTAAAGTTATCTATTATTCTGTATGAAATAGCTGGATATCAATAATTCATGTTAAATAACTAATTAGATTTTTGTTTCAGATTTAATTAATGTTTTATTAATTAATCTATATACTACTAAACGACTGATATGAGTAGTTGGATACCACTCACCTCAACCAGTAGTACTTGCTAGCGAGATCGTAGTGATACTAACACCAGATGGCCGTTTCACCCATTTGGGGCCGAGATCATTAGCAATGCACCCGTTTTAACTAAATTTAGGGCGTCGAATCAGTTCAAACCTCCTGATTTTTAGTTAGATCATTTCGATCTGGCTAGGGAGCACCACTGGTTGATGTCGCTTTTGTTCAGTTGCTCATGTTAGTGAATGAGTAGTGTATAGTTTCGTGCCACTAGGCTTGTCTTCTTGATTATAGAAAGATATGAACATTTTATGTTTCTGAAGGGAAGTGTGGTGAAATTTTACCACAAACTGTGTAAATAGCAGCTTTCCCGAATTAATTCGCTTATTAAGAATTTGATGTGTTCTTTTAATTAATTCACTAAAGCTGAATGAGAAATAATATTTCACACAATAATTTACATTAGTTAATTATTGCTGTTGTAAAACAATTCATTAACAATCACCATTTCATTTTTTTTCATCCTGTTACTATGGTAACGAAAGTGTATTTGTGGTGGTCTAAACATTTAAGATCAGAATTTATGATCTCATTTTAATACAAATATCGAAAGTAATTTAAAGAAATAATACTACAAAGAATTGTATAAAATATTCACCAATAACAATAAGCACCGTGAACTGGATGAAGGTCATTTGGAATGTGTACTATTCAGTATTATCATTATTATTAATACATGTCTGCGTGAATATAGTATAAGCACAAAGCTTTTTGCTTTATCATGGAAACACTTTTAATTCAAAAACAAGAATTAAACTGAGTCAAAAATATGGCATAGAGAATAAAGTGATACTATTTTTATGATGTCTGACTGACTGAGTTCCAAACATAGAACTTAGCAGGGAATTGCAGTAGTTCAAGTTGCCGCACTCCATGTAGGACACAGAGGCAGACAAAAAAGAGAAAAAAGGATTCAAAAGTACCATGATAAGTAGAAATGTGAGGCTGAAAGAACAATAGCATAGAAAAACATTAGGGTTTATGGGATATGGGAGAATACAGAGAGTGAACGACTGACGATTTTCAGCCATTTCACCAACAGTCCACAGTCATTGGTTCTTCGACTGTAGCTCCCTGCATGGCTTAAACTAGCTGTCAAAGATTTCGTTGACTGATGCCAGGTTTTAGTTTGACCACATCTAACTATTTCCAACCTGATATTATGCCACTTAACACTCCCTGTCGATGAAGGCAGTGGCTGGGTATGGGCATCTAAATCGCAAACTCATCGATTGGCTTCCCTTCCTTATCTAGCACTTTGCGCCTAACTTAAATATTTCCTATCAACTTGTGCCACTTAATACGGGAGATAGAACGCGAATATCCGTTGTCAAAACTAGATAGCCTTTTCATATCTTCCCCTTTCAATGACCATACCTCACAGCCACAAAAAGAACGAAGCTAATTTATGCCTAGTACGCAAATCCAATGATCTATAACCGGATATAACGTCTATACCAGATACAACATAATTTGGCAAATGCCACACGGGCTGTTTGTATCCGATATGAAATTCTGTCACCAATCAGTCCATCGGGGCTGATGTGACTTCCCAAATAAGTGAAGTAAGTGGTCGAAATGCTCTACTACTTCACTGTCTATATTGAAACTAGGATTCGGTGTAGTCCAGTCCTGTAGCATCATCTTATATTTGACATGAGCGAATCTAATGCCAAACATTCGAAGAATGTTTCTCAGGATGTTCCGAAAACCATGCATTTTATCAGTGTCTTCACTCAGGAGTACTATGTCATCCGCATATTCTAAGTAGGCAATACTGTTTCCTAATAGCAAGTCAATCTTTAGTCACTGAAGTCGATTGAGGCCACATAATTAGTACATCTTTGATGTAATTAAACAAAAAATGGGCACAGTGGATATCCCTGACGGACACCACTGATTGTCATCATTTCAGATGATAACTCTCTATTAACCCTTACGCAGCTTCATGAGTCCGTGTAGAGTGCTTTGAAAAGTGAGACATACTTTCTCGTCACTCCCTTCATGGTCAAACACTGCCATAGCACCTTTCGGTCGATGGAGTGGAACACTGTCTTCAGATGAGGAAATATGGCATCTGCTGGATGCCAGTAATTATGCTTGTCTTCTAGAATCCATCGAAGAGTAAAGATATGATCAATACACCTTCTTCCTGGTTTAAAACTTGGCTGGTTTGTTCGTGTTTATTTCTTCTGAACGCAATTTAATCTACGCGTGATTATTGGGCCTAGAACTCTAGATAACATGTTAGTCAGGCTAATGACCTTATGATTATCACAGAATGGCTTGTTTTCCTTCTTATAAAAGGGGATAATCAGTGACTTACACTAATCTAACGGAACTACCTTTGATTCCCAGACATTACCTAATACTTAAGTTAACTAAAACAGTAGTTTGTCACCACCGTACTTAAACATTTCCGGAGTCACTCCATCAGTTCCTGCTGCCTTGCCTCGTTTCAGACTAGAGACAGCCTTTACAACCTCAACTATGGATGGATGACCGGTGTCTACAACGCATTCAGTTAGTTGCTGCATCATGAGCAAGTTGAGTGTGACTGTAAGCCAGTTAAATAGTTCCTCAAGACATGATCAGAGAATACCCATATGTTTCAGAAAGAGCAGCAGTCCTCTACTGAACCTCATCAACTACGGTTTATCTCTATGAATCGATCATTGATTTGACGACGGAGGTGACCAGGTTAGGCAGCTTCTTTTGAAGCTAGTACTGACTAGGAACCAATGATTATCTGAAAAGAACTGTCGGCGACAGTAACTGTCGTCGGTTCGTCTGCACGGAACTCCGCAGGTCCCGTCAACATGCTTATCAGACTGACATGACTTCTCTGTTTCAGGTTTTCAGTTTCCTGCTAAAACAACTCTATCTGAGCCTTTTACGTATAGCAGCGAAATAGACAGTCTTTGGTAGAACTCATCCTTCATTGTGACCGAAGTGCAGTTGGTTGGGGAGCAAGTGGAGATCGTCAAAAGATATTGAAGAGTATCTCAGGTTTTCCTTCTTCTAACGGATCTGGTTAGATGGATAACACACATACAACTATCTACTGAAATCCAGTCAAACAGGGATTTCTCTGCCTCATGAATCACTGCTATTCCTGTCAGTGCTCGATAACTAGCCGAAGAATCTCCTGACGCCTGTATGGCGGATTTCTCATATTTAACCTGTCGGTGAGGTGAAGTTAAGTGAACAACCACACCTGGGTATTGTAAATCTGTCTAGAAACATAATATACATCCTTGGCTCAAGATGCCAGAGTTCTGGCTAGTGATGCCTGTTATCCGACTTAACAAAGGGCCTTAACGTTCCAATATAAAGTTGGCAGAGTGTCTTTGAGGGACTCAGGGTACTGGTTTCAGGCTGTCATTACTATCGGTGGTAGCGCAGTGAAAACATGAGGGACCTGCCTATGTAATAGCATTGGCAGTAGGAGGAAAAGGTGATGAAGGTTACAGGGATGAAGGTGGATGATAATCAGGAGAGCTTTGTGTGCCTTTGGAAATATGCGGGTAGTTTTTACTTCCTGGTTGCCTACACGATAGAAGTTGATTTTCACTCCAGGTGTCTGAAACAGAAAGAAAACTAGTGTTGCATGACCACAGAGTCCAAGGCACAACTGCTTGAGACCAGTCACACACGGTCTGTTTGGACTGGCTTTTAGGTTTGGTTCCGTATTAGTAACTTACCGCTGGCTACGGACCGCCGTAAGGTAAGTTGGGATGTACAACTTTTGTGGTCAACCTTTTTTAACTCTTTCCTCCCTACAGAGCGAAAAGGCAGTATGACTGGCATGCTAGACGTCAAAGGAGGGGACTTTACTGCCGTCACATCCTTGTTCCCCAGTGGTACCACTTTTCCAAGAGACCTCCAACATAGTCAAACATATTACACTATAACGGTAACTACTTTTAGTAAATTCACTTTCCGAACGAATCACCCCGCATGGTACGACCTGCAGAAACATTGGTTCCAGCCAGCGTAGTTGGTTGGATAATTGCGATATGAGGACCTAACCACTACTCGAAGGTAGCACCTATCGGTTAGGTATTATGACGTCTATTGAACAATGAACAGCAGTCGAAGTAATGTATTGTTTCTCTAAAATAAACCTTAACCATAATAAACTCATTCTATGGTAGAATTCTCTCCAGCCATGCGGAAGGTCCTGGTTCGATTCCCGATATCTGATTGTCGTACCGGATGCAAATCAACAAAAGAGAGTAGGTTAGGTGTGAGACTAGAATCCCAGATCCGTAGAAACGATTCATCGTTACTGAAACTTCATAGCCTTAAGCTTCAGGTCCTATGTTCTACCACTTGGAACTCAAGGAATGTGAAAACACCTAATTAACTATTGTCGCGCTAACAATTTCCTTAGTGAGTGACCTTAAGGAAAGAGGTAGCACATATAATACCAACCTCCAGTTTTTCCTTGCTTAGAACCTGATGATAAACTGGGCAAGGGTAAAATCGCATTTTTCGCGCTTCAAAACTTTCAGTGAATAGGAAACCACGTAGTTTTGTGATATTTTTACTGTTATTTTTGTTTTATCTCCCTCTCTCATCAAGATTGCAATTCACATTACGACAAAGGGCGTGTGTACTGCTCAACAGTCCGCTCCGTCCTCCTTTATGGCTGTGAGACCTGGCCATTGAGAGTGGAAGACATGAAAAGATTATCTGTCTTCGATCATAGGTGCCTGCGTTCTATCTCCCGTGTGAAGTGGTACGATAAGGTGAGCAATATTGAGGTTAGGCATTGGTCGAGTGCTAGGTAAGGCGGGGAAATCAGTCGACGAGACTGTGAAATTACATTGACTGAGATGGTTAGGACATGTATTACGTATGCCTAGTCATCGCCTTCCTCGACGGGCAATGTTAGCTGTTAGGGCCAGGCTGGAAAAGAGCTAGCGGCGGTCAAACGAAAACGCACATATGTGCAAAGTTCTATGTCGAAAGCCGACCGGCCGACCGACACTACGACAAAAGTGAACCACCCTAGATATGAAAAGTAGCACAATATAAACTGAATAAGTAAACTTCTACCTTGATTATGACTTTCCTGAATTTCCTTAACTTCTGTATAATTTGGTTCTTTTTTCCAGTTGACATATACTCCCTTACCAGTCTGATGGCTAAAAGGAACACGTAAACACATCCACCGCTTACAACATTCTCCTTGTCTCGGTGGCATTAACTGCAGTTTCATTGTTGTACCATCGCTGTAGATATGATTGCATAATTCATCTGGTGGTCTTTTCTGTTCAATATGTGAGCATAAATTATGACAAAGTGTTATACCATCGATACATGTGCATTGATGTGGACATCCATCGCCATGAACTCCACTATGTGGTATCCATGTTCCATTGATAAAACATGGTCTACCATTATTTTCTACAAATTGAAGAAGAAACGATATTTTCGTATAGGTAATAATTACAGAATATTAGTATGGATTTCCAAAAAATTAAGAAACTGGTAAGACTATCTTAAATTCAAAACCTGAGTATTTACTCTGTAGTGTGGAGAACTGCTGCAAACTGTATAAAGGACAAAAATCAGAATTTCGGCACAAGTATGTCAGTCAGTCCTCCTATATGGTTCGGAAATTTGAAGTATCACCGGAATCGTTTCTAACAGTATTCAGACTTTTAGCAACAGCTGCCTTCATTCCATACTCAAGATCTGATAGTGGGCCACGAAAGATTAGCAACAATGAACTCTGACAGGTAACGAACTAACCGAGAACCCATAGCTCAACAGATGTCCCGGAGAAAATTAGCATGGAATGGACACGTGTGGAGGAGACTGTTGAGTGGAATCTCACGTCGGGATCTGAAGTGGAACACGAATAGCAAACAACGACTCGATCACTCGATAGTGACATGGAGGAGGTCATGTGAGGAGGAAATGACAGAGCGTGATCAATCATGGATTTAGCTGGAGAAGATTTCATAGAACGGGACGGAATTGAGATGCTCCCCTGAAGCCTTGTGTTGCACTCGGGACCCAAGGAAATAATAACTATATAATTTACTCTGTGATAATAACAATAAGGCAAGTAATTTAACTACTCAACTGAATTTCGTCACCAACTGATGTTAATGTGAAAACCACTACGTCCTCCTAATTTAGGACAAATCAGCAGTGAGGATGCAAAACCCTACGGGGGATCGAAATCTGGATTTTCAGATTACGAAAGAAGCCCAGTGACCTCTCAGCCACCAGCTTGGAATCTGATGACCCATGAATTTTGACACCTACCATTTCATGCTATGGCACCACGGCCAGGTGGTGAAATCAGAGATTATCTGTCCTCATGTCTGACTTACTGTACTCCACTTGACAAGAATTTTTATGAGAACTACAGAAACTCTTTACCGCAGTGAGTTACTAATAAGAAGTATACTAATTTTCAAGTATTTCTTTTCAGGGATATAACTGACTTCAAATTATATTTCAAAACCAGCCAACATCAGTAACTTTGCATCTGTAACGCATCATGAAACTGATTTTTCTACTAGGTCCTTCATGGTGAAGGGACTGATTTATTTATCTAAGGCAAAACTGATTGATAGACTGTTCTCAGTGTTCAGATTCTATCACCTTAAAGGATTCATTGAAACTCCAATATGATCATTATTCAATCATAGTAATAATAGTTATTATTAGAATATGAACACCTCCCAAAAAGCCCAATCGTTCAGCATATAATTTTTCTAGAGCAAACAATGAAGAGGTAAGTCAACTTCATTAGCAATTACCAAAAGTCATTCACTTCATTTTGTTGAATTGTTTACGATTAAACAACATTTGCTTGGAGTTGAGCTATATATCTAGAATCGACAGAAGTTAGAACTGATGTGCCATTGGAATTGGTCCCAGGGGCTGAATGATCAACGAGGGTCAATCCCTGAATGTGAGGTTATGGTTTTGTACAAATGAATAGTTCCAGACGGGGATGAAATAGCTGTTCATTAGTTGGTGGTTTTCAGTGGTTTGCGAATTGAAGTCAGTTCTTGATAAAAATTGAAATCAACCAAATCCCCGTAAACTAACATTTGACACTCAAAGGATTTCAGTGTCTCCTTTGTCTATTGAACATCTGCTTCATCCTAGAGAGGAACGCATCAGCAGTGAGCACGAATGACACCTTTTGGGGATTGAACGTTGGAGCTTCAGAACACTTTATTATCAGTAGTTTAATTTCATTTCATATACTTTATATTTTACTGTCTTATTGACCCAAAGAGACCAAATTCACAACCTTGTCATATAGTGGAAAGTTGTTTTCTCTTCTGTTCACTAGTTAGATGTTGTAATCATACATTGTAAATTTATTTCTTTGTGCATCAAAAAGGTTGATTAAGTATTAAGTAAAAATATATACCAGGCATATATAACTATAGGGCATATGATGCTAACCAATTGCGAAGGCTGAAGTAAATGAAGCAGGTGTCGAACTCGGGACTTACCAGCTGGTAGACAGGTACCTTAGTTTACAAGTCACATCACCACACCTAAGGATATACCTGTCTCGTGAACTTTCACTAGATGAACATCAAATTTCAAGTATTGATGAAATCTTCCATGCAATCAAACAAATTCCCTACAAAACCAATACTTGAAAATTAATCTGATGCTCACTAGTGACTGGCCCTATTCAGGCAGTTAACCTGGGGTTCTATTTTTATTTATTTTTTATTTATTTTATTTTTATTTACAGCTTGATTCCACACCGTATTTTCAGTACAAGTGTGGAATTTTCAGCATGGATATCGGTAGCCCAAATTCAGGCCGACCATAGATATCGGGTGTGCGCCGGCAGGGGATCGAACCGCGGACCATGTGCATGGTCGGCGAGAGTCCTAACCACTGTGCCACCGACGCACAGTAGGGTAAAGCAGGTTGAAGATGAGGCAGTAACTCATCGAAGAAGACATTGCGAAATGGTCATGCTATGTCGTGAACTGGCAGAAGTTAGAGTTCAAAGACCATTTGATCAGGTCCCAGTGGCTAAATGGTCTACGAGCTCGTCTTGTAACCGGGAGGTCCTAGGTTTGAACCCCGGCGGGTGCGTACTGCTGCAGAGTCCCAAACTGTGACGAAACAGCTGTTCAGTACTCCTACGTTTTCCAGTGGTTCTCTAACTGATGTCAGCTCATGATGAAATCCTCCATGCAATCAAACATCAAATTAGCTAGATATTTCAAGTGCATCTTAACACATTGTTTACGATAAATATATTACTCATTCTTTTTATATTAAATAGGAAATAGCAAATGGAATAAGATGAACTACATCAATGTGTATCATCACAGACTCAAGAGATTTTTACGGATGTATCTAAATAACTATGAGTGATTTTACTTTAATCACCTTCAAATTGAACTACACGTAAAATTCTACACATATTTATCCTCAATACAAAACATTTCACTTCAGGATTCAGAATAAGAATATTTCAGCATATTACTATTCGTTCCTGGAGTTCCGAGTAGAGTATCGGGCTTCGGTAGGACATCTACATTCCACTCGGTCGTCTGTTACTTTCAGCTAGCCTCATCTCTGACCGCAAGCTTTCAGATCCCCTTCATATGATCTCCTCCATATCATTCTCGGACACATGCTCAACACGTTGCGTCCCATTTAGGTTTCACTTGAAGATCTGATTGCCGTTTGATGTCACTAGGTGGACTCTTCAGCGTATTCCCGATCCATTTCTACTTCCTTCTGCATATTTGCTCAGCTAATCATAGTTTGTTGGCTGGTTCACTAGCAAAAATCCTAACTACTAAACATATACTTCAACTGCAACATGATTTTATGTCATTTTCAGTGGTCAGTTAGGAGCGTAGGTACAATTTCTTCTTTAGGTAATTGAAGTGTAACTAAAGAAGTTTTTATGAGGTTTTATCGTTACTAAGGTTTCTATTTTCTTCACTGTTAAATCATTGATTAGTTTGAAAACAAGTTAAAATTTCAGACATTCAACTCTGCATCATCTTGTTTTCTACTTTCCACAGAAAAAACTGTACACATCCTGTTTATCTTTCTTACTGAAATACTTTCATGCAACACTGTCTTTGTCTACTCAGTGTAACTTAGCCATGCAACAAGTTAAGATTTTTTGAATATCATCTTTTCAACACAGATGTACTTATTTAACTAAGAACAAGAACAAGATGCATACCTACATGAATAGGCATCGTGTAAACATAACTGAATACATCACAAAAACACGCCAATTGACGACAGGGTTTGATTGAGTATCTTCAGCTTAATCGATCTAATAAAATAGTGAAGATCATCGTATAATGCCAGATGATGGTGAAGCTAAAAACTACCGTTAAACGGAAACAATGAGAAACATTATTTTATCAGTACTTTTATGTGATATACATCTAAGTATAGAAAGGTTTGATAGCAAATAGATTGAGAATGATATTTCCGGACTGGATACACATTTTTACCCATTTCGGTTATTAAATAGGATGGATCTATCTGAAGTTGTGGTACACTAATAGGGGAATCTGAAGCGAAAGCTTCCTGAAATCTTATCTCATTAAACTAAAAATCCAGAGAAGTGGTTACTTCATAAGCTTTTTGTTGATATAAGAATAGAATTTGGGCACTGTTGTAGAGTTGAATTCTATCACGGAATAGTTTTATTTCGCAAAAGGCACACTGCAACACAGGATTATTTACCAACAGCATTTCGAACAAAATATATTGCTCGTTATCATTTCGAGCTTTTTTAGCGCCATCACCAGTCAATATTATCAGCGGGCATTTGTCTTCACACTTGACCTGATGTGCCCGTAAAACTGCTTTTTGGTAGTGCTAAAACTCACAAAAATTGATACAAGTAAGAATTCGTGGGCCATTGCCTTCCATCCCAGCTTTTAAATGGTCGACTCGAAGGTCCCAGATGTGACGCTACTTTGGTCTTGGGCATGCACTACCGAAGAGTAGCGAACTAGAATGAAGTATTTTTCCAGCACTCCCAGATTTTTGAAGGCTCTTTTTTACTAATATCAAAATTCATGAAATCAATCAAATCCACACAGAATAACATTTGAAAGTGATTCTGCGTCAATGTTTACTTTTCATCAACTGCAGACGTTATGTACACATTAATCTTGAACTCATAAGCCCAATTTTTGCATAGAAAACGTTAAGAACCATCCCTTTTTTAATCTGAAGTGAGAAAGGTTCTTTTATACAATTCACACACTTAAACATTCACTCATTTCCGGTGTCTGTGTACAAAAAATCAGTTAGTAAGCAGGATACTAAATTAACAAAGATGTATCCTCATTAACAACTTTACGTCTGTTGAAATAATACCTAGAAACCATTGGAAATAGTCTTATACATATAATGGAGAAGAT